ACAGGACACGCTGATCACCAAAACCGGCACATCTGTAGTAGATTAAGTTAGTTTATGTAACTAAAACAAATGTTTATATATATTATACTGGGTGTTAGTAATAGAGAGCAGTGTTTTTCGAAATAATGTTGTATTTTTCTCGCTTATCTGTGCAATTTACAACAGATAACAAGTATATTGTAAAAAAAAATAACATCTAATGTTAAAGGTAACACGAAGACTACAAACAGTTAAATTTGAGTTATAATTATTATTATAACTAGTTGATATGTACGCTATGCAGAAGCAAAAATTTCTATGTTGTTGAATGCGTACTAAATTCAATACCATAACCCTAATATCGGGTATGTAGCAGTCACATTTCTGCAACCGTTTTCATGTAATTTTCTTAGGAAAATAGGAGATCTGCTATCTGTTCCTGACACAAGGGGTTTACTGGTTTAACGCCTTGTAGAACAAAAACATGAAGACAAAAAACTAGAAGAACTGGTACTGTGCCTACATGACTAATATACGTGTATTGATGTAAATTTGATTACATTTAATCCACACAGAAAAATCTCAGCCAGGATTCGAACACGACTTCAGGCTTCCAATCCATTGAGTTTATTGATTGATCTTTAACTTAAATTTAATTATGTGTGTTAATATAATGTTTAATTCTGACAGAGTTTACACGCGTTTTTGGATTATTTTCAAAGATATACATTCTATCAGTTTTCCGATAGAAAAGCAACATATCAAATAGGCGTACGTGATTCTTCTATAGATTTCCGGATATCGAGCATGTATTTTAAGTATTAAGTAAACAGTCCTTTAGCAAAACTGCAAGTATTATTTGCAACTATTATGAATTTGCAATCGTATTCTATATTTCGGGTCTGAATAACGTCAAAAAAATGTAAACACTTTTAATTATTTTTCTTCACCGTAGGCGAAGTTGATATGTGTTATTAGTTGGTGCATATTCGAGTGCAAACCTTAGGCTTAAGAATCGGACGCTAAAGCGCTAGGCTAAGCATAGTTTTGGATTTGTCGTATTGTTATTTCTTAAAACATATTAGGTAACTTAGGGAACACTTTACATTTGGGAATAAGCTACGCGTGATTTAAGTGTCATTCTCTTAATATTAGAATATAATTAGGTTAATCTGTACCTTCGGTGGCTTAGTTCTACATCAATTAAATTTCATTCTGGGGTGATTTAGGGTAAGCAGCGACTTTGGGCTTAGTATGGGAAGTATATAAAATATTAGTTTGTTACAATGGTTACGCTGTTATTCTGATTCTATCTTTAGTCCATTTTATGATACGGCTGTAAATCTCTAACACCTAAACTTAGGTTTACATTTTCCGACTACGACGTAACATATAGCTGAAATCGTTTCAAAAATATTCTATACGATTTATTCGCTAAGGATGAGCATACAATTTATCTTCGTACTGCATCCGGTATTTCATACAAAATTCATCACACCCAACTTCGATCTGCGGAAGTTCAGTGCCCATGTACTCGCTACTTATTCACTAAGAACTGATGCTACAAATGTATTTAAAACAAGAGTAAAATTCATTTTATTATAACTGTTTATAGACTAGCCCATGGAATTTTTTTTTTCGATATTTATTTTTAATCATCTATACACTATAACAAAGCCGTAAATTAATAATTAGTCGTAATTCCTCATTTGTACCTGAGAAATTCCATTCACTCACGTACTCACCTGTACCGCTCAGAAATGACGGCATGGTGCTCAGAGTTATTTTCTGATATAGTAACAGCCTTCAAAGCGTTATTCACGTTGGTTCATTTCACAGGTAATTTTTTTCCATGAGCTTGTAGTCTATTATAATAATCACAAAATTGGGATTTTGGTATTATTTTACAAAACTAATTTTGACCCGCGCTTTTCTAAACTGTACAATTTTCGTGAGACCCAATTCGAGTATATCAACAGCATTTCAAAAACACTATTTTACTGGAATAAATGACGCATACTTTGGAGCAGCCATGAGTTTTAATTGCGGTAAATGTCAAATTTTATCTTGCTACCGTCAACTATTTCGCTATTTATATTAATTGAATTATATTTTGTTTATATAATATATCGGACTCATTAATTTAGTTTATTAACATAAACAAAATCGTAAATAGCTTTTGATAAATATTACCTTGACCATCATGTTTATTAAACAACCCGGATATAAATATTGTACCATAGATTAAAGTGTATTGGACAATATTCGAATATATAATAGAACATTATAATAAAATAAACATTTAATTATATATAACTAAACTCGGGTCTAATGCCCGTTTGCCTCCACTGTCAAAAGGCTTGCAAGTGCTTTGTCGGCATTTTTATCGCGGTACGCGTATAGTTATCAAATCATTGGCGTAAGACACAAGAAGAAACGCTCCACCACTCATTTCAGTCACCAAGATTTAAGTATGGAGCTGCTCATCTATATTACTCACAAAAAACATTTATCTTTAAAGAAGGGATTTTATGAAATGCTCGATACATAAAAACAGTCAAGCTGCAACCTTTTAGGTCCGGTCCTCAGATTTCTGTATTTGTTATTTGTGTCCGCTTTCAGACCCTGGCACGCCGTCGTCTTTTTGTTTCTAAAGCATACCGGTTTCCTCACGATATCTTTCACCGTACGAGTGAGTGTTAAATGCGCAGAGTCCCATTGATGCACAGCCGGGATTCGAACCTACAACCTCAGTGTAGAAAGTTCACTGAAGCCAACACTGCTATAAGTATATACAAAATAATGCAAACAATTCCATTTCACCTGTGTATAAATCAAACTAATCGGAAAACGCAGGACTGCAGTGTATGCAGAACGTGCCGATACACCACAACACTCCTTACATCTGTAAATCCTTTGTAATAACCATACCTGAGCTAGAGCGAGACAATTTAAAATGTGATGACCTTCTTCGGAAACGAAGATTGAATTAAACTGAATGAAGATTTCTCCAACTTCTTGATTGTGGCCCATGAAGGACCTAGTCAGGGAATTAAACATGTAAAAAACGTTTTAGTTCCACGTATTAATGCATTGAAGAGCAGTGTTGGCCTAGTGGCTTCAGCGTGCGACTCTCATACCTGAGGTCGTAGGTTCGATCCCCGGCTGTGCACCAATGGACTCTATGTGCGCATTTAACATTTGCTCGAACGGTGAAGGAAAACATCGTGAGGAAACCGACATGACAGACCCAAAAAGACGAAGGCGTGTGTCAGGCACTGGAGGCTGATCACCTACTTGCCTATCAGATTTTTAAAAAAAATGATCATGAAACAGATTCAGAAATCTGAGGCCAAGACCTAACGAGGTTGTAGCGCCACTGATTATTATTATTAAAGCATTGACTGCTATAAACTGGTAAACAATACCAGGGTATCTGCCGTAATATAGATTTTATATAGTGTTAATGGACACTTTGTTATGACTTTTATGGTGAATACGGCGAGGTTTTTTAACTCATTAGTCTTATATTGTAGTGTTAAAACATCAATTACGAGACGATTTATTTTATTTGATCTAGTTTCATCTTTTCCCAGGGTTATGTCATTTGTCATATGTGTATAAATATCTATATGCAATATGGGTACAATGTAGGTAGTAGGCTGACTATGCTGGGATGTTATTGCATACGTTTTAAAAACTAATGGTTATTTAATTAAATTAGCAAATACGGCGACCCTGCAACAGAAGTCTGGGGATGACAGCTTTCCACACTGACGCACCCAACATACTTATATCTTTATCTATGACAATTCGTTACGATACTATACTCTAAGAAACAGATTCTACATGAAACCACAGACACAATGTCGCGAATTCGGAAAAAAGACAAAAGCTATAAAAGCTATAATTAAAGCTACCTTTAATTATATTTAAACTTGGGCTTACATTCTGGAATTTTCTATTCCGTTCTCGTTAAAAACCACAATCAATTTTCGTTTAAAGTATAGTGTATAAATAATTGAATTGCTATGAGATTGGGCAAAAAATACAGAATCTTGTTATCATGTCATTATATAATCAATTTATTTTAATTTGATGATGTAATCCAGAGTAACCAAATTATGTCTTTAAACGAGCCGAAAACAACTTTTTTTACAAAGAGTAAAGGAAGCTTAAAATATTCAAATACTTACTAATTTATTTATTTATTTATTTCGTATTCCTACAGCTAACACAAATTATATAGAACACAACACAATTGTAGTGAAGATATAGCCAAAGATGGAATACATAATACATATATACAAAAACGTTCAAACGGAAAAAAATAAATAAAAAATATTAAATACATTTACCTAAGCAATACCTAATTCCAGTGTATTGCATGATGGTGTGAAAATGAGGCTATGTACGTGAAGGTGTGTATGTGAGGTGTGCTCTAATTACTGTACTTTCACATTCATAAACGTACTCATAAGGCTCAATTAGTTAAACCTTTATAGAAAAAAGGGGGAGAATATGGAACTTGATATAATCTCACCAGATTCTTGGATAATTGTCTTTTAAAGACAAATAGGTGATCAGCCTTCCATGACGCATATAGTCGATTTGTTGGTCTGAAACATGGTATCGCCACCATGCTTTCCTTACGAAGCCTTTATTGTGCAGAAAGAAAGAAAATCCATTGCACAGCCGGGATTTAAACGCAAGACCCCAGGGTTTACAGTTTCTTTTCATCTTAGTCAAGGACAATATTCCTCAGACTCAGGAGTCAATTTGATACTTTATGGCAAATTTCACATAGATTTAATAAAAATATTTCTCTATATCTATATATCTCTATAGTCTATAGTCTCTGTTACTCTATGGTAAAACAACGGTAACTTTTAAATATCGCAAAAAAATCTTCCATTTAAACTTGATGCAAATTATTTGGTGAAGTATAAATATGTGATATTTGTTAGAAAATTTTAGTATTCGTGTGACCTTAGCATTGAAAAGACTGGTTGTAAATAAAAATGCTTAAGATATTTTGTTTTGTGTCGTGTATTGCATTTTTAGATGCCACTACAGGTTTGTGTTTTAATTTTAGCGTTATTAAAGCTTTTAATTTATAAAATATTAAACTCAATATTCAATCGCGATCTGGGCTCCTTGTGAAAGAAAGCATTGGGTGTTGCTGGAGAGGGTACAAAACAAATTCATCGGGCACATGTATTGTAGGATTTACTGTGTATACCCATTTTAGTACCCAACTTTTGATAATAGGTTCTGTGGGTTACACTCAGAGTGAGGCGAGATTTTGTGATTACCATGTCTCTTAAAAAGTCGTTACGTGAAAAGGAAGACAATCTGGCATTGAAATATTTTTATCTATTATATTACTGTGATGTTGTTTTTTTATGTGTATCTATTTTTTGTATGTGATATAAATGTAAATAGTTGCCGCGTTGGAGTAATCTGTATTGGTAGCTTATTTTGTTAAAAATAAATAAATAAAAAGATACAAAAAGAACACATACTCATATAACTGGGTAATTTTGTATGGAAAATTTCTTACATTAATAAATGCTTTATTATTATTTCGTTATTGTTTACTTTAGATTTTTAAAGTTAATTTAATTCGTAGAAGTTATACTTAACGATTTAACGCTAAACGGGATGGTTTTTTTTTTTCAAATATTTGACTAAAATCGACGTGTACTTTTCCATCAGCAAGAGTTCCTGTCCGTATACACGAACAACGACAAGAACCATATGTACTTTTTGCAGTTCCCTACATAACTCCATGCAAGTCAGTTGATACGCCGTGCATGATCTCCAGTGCACACAGTGCCCTCGAAAACCTTTGGCGTGGTGTCCCAGAATTTGGAGTACCTATACTAGATCCGCTAGAGATCGGCAGCTTACGCAACGATGACAAAGACCTGAAATTAGGTTTTAGAAACATGAAGGTTCATGGACCAAGCAAGTGTAAATTCTTGGACATCAAGTAAGTTATATTTCATTAAATTTGTGATACGACTGTTTTGAATATTCTATTATATATTTAATTGTAGAATAATGATAGTTATTGTACAAGAAGGCACGCGTCCCGTATAGTATACATATAGTGTCCGCCAACACATTAGATACGCAATTTTTTTAGGTTTTCTCAACGAAAGTTCTATCTTTACGCAGCTTGGCGAACGTTTTTGTTGAGTTTTTGTAATTCTAAATTATTTTTGATGTTGCAGACGTGAACTATACAATTCAACTATATCACTGACCGTAGAGTGTCCTCTAAGAGCAACAGGCCAATATGACTTGAAAGGAAAGATACTGTTTATTGAAGCCTACGGAGATGGTGATTTTGATATTAAGACAAGTGAGTATAATTTTTAAACCAGCTCCATTAAATATAATGTTATATAATCTGTGCCGATATTTATTTCTCTTTGTTGTGCTGCTGAATTACTCAGATAAAGCCAGAGCATCATTACGACATTTATGTAATAAATAGGCTTCAACTATTGAACCGATTGACCAATTTGAATAATTCTTTCATCATTAGAATTCTCAATAACCTTGATGAACTTAGGATATTTCCAAAAAAGCTAGGGAACCGTATGAAAACTTTGATAATGTAACCCAAGATGTGAAAAAACTACCAATATCGCGTTCGCCGTGGAAACAATTGAGAATACAGCAAAGATATAGTACAGTTTAAAAGAAGACATTTTTATCTACAGCAAAAATATACCGCGATATCCAACTATTACATATTTAATCAAATAAATATCCAGTGCGAAGGGACTGAACGCTAGAGTTATATAAAATAGGTATTTACTTTAAGCATACGTGAACTTTTGCAAAATTCACATGTATTCATCATCGTACATCGCACTTGTAATAATCATTGTAAAATAGAGCGGTTTTATTATTGTAATACCATAAGCAATCGGACTTTTCAGTATTTTTATCAATGTTATGTAATACCGAAACAGTTTTAAATTATATTATTACTATTATTTAATCATTATATTACGGCAAACGTTGTTTTGCCATTTATATTATTTCTAGGAAAAAAATTTTAGTTCAATAAAAATAACTATCTACCTACTATGTATAATAAAAAATAGGGTTGATAGGGATGAAAATTAAGGGTTGTATGTATTTTTGTATGCTGTATCATAAAAAAATAAAAACAAAAAAAAATGTTTAAAAAAGTATGGGGTACCAACCTTAACTATTAGGGGGATCAAAAATAGATGTCTGATTCGCAGACCTAACCGATACGCACACAAAATTTCACGAAACTCGGTCGAGCCATTTCGGAGGAGTTTAATTACAAACACCGTCGAGAATTTTATAGATAAAGTTTTTGAAGTTATACATCTTTAGACGCGTTGCGCGCGCACCTTGACACAAAATTAAGAGAATGAAGTTGCCCACGGAAGATGCTACGGCATTGGATATAACTTAAAAACAACATTCTAATAATAATAGAATTTATGTTACACTTAATGTAAGAGAATAATAATAAATATTTATTTATTTAATTTTTCAAATGTAAACTGAACTTTATTGACTATAAGGACTCCTTTTCTAGTCTTTGATTATTTAATTGTAATTAATTATTTGCATGCAATCAAAAACTATTACATATAAGTACACGCACCCACTTTTTTTTTGAGGTTCTTATGATATGTGACAGTACATTATTATAGTAGTTATAAGTATTTTACTTTGTTTTCAGATAGAGTAAAAATATATCTTACACCGAAAATCAAGACTATTGAGGACGCGGCTGGAGTTAAACATTGGAAAATTAAAAGCTTTGATTACTCGTACGATTTGGTCGAGATAGTAGATATTCAATTATATAATTTGTTTGGGGGTGATGAAACCAGAGGTATAGTATTTATGGAGATATATACCGTAGACATAGGCGGTAAAAAACACACGCGGAATTTCGTCAAATGTTAATGCACTTAATTTGAATCCTTGATCGGCGCGGCGGCTTGATCCTTTAGCGTTGCGTAGAGATGTGGGGTCACTCAGCATCTTCTACCGCATTTACCATGGGGAGTGTTCAGAGGAGGTGTTTGGATTAATACCTGCAGATGAGTTTCATCATCGAACGTCGAGGCAGAATACGAAATTCCACCCGCATCACCTCGATGTCCACCATTCCACAACTGAGCGTTTTTTTAAGGCAGTTTTTGCCGTGCGTGGTGTGCGGAACCAGCTGCCCACTGAAGAATTTCCGAACCAATTATATTTAGGGTCCTTCAAGAAAAAAGCGTACCAATTCTTAAAAGGAACGCACTCGCGAGCCCTTAGGCAATGATCGTGTCCATGGGCGGCGGAATCACTTAGGTGCATCAGGTGAGGCTGTCCGTTTGCCCCTGTTCTTTAAAAAAAATCCCTTGTGCATTCTTTTTCGTGCAGTATTCAATTCAACAAATAATTATAAAACTGTTAAAAATACTCACTTTTCTACCAGTTTCACAATTTTTTTATAAAAATAATCAAAATAGAGGCACAATGTAGAAGTAATGTACAAAAACTGAGCTTGTCATTCCACGGGTGTATCTTGTTTTCAAAACATTTACCACTTACAGCGTATCATTCGTCATTTTGAAACTTTATTGACATATATAACACATCATTGAGATATAAATTAATTATAAATTAGGAAAGTCAAAAAGTATAACATTTTTAAGTGAAATCAAATAACATATATTTTAACTCCTATATGGATATCAAGCGCCTGCCATCTGTCAATGTCAACTGTCTCGTCTTGACGCACTTTTAAGTACAAAAAGTACATAGGATTCGATTTCTAGAACTACTACTTAGATTTTTAGTACCTGGTACTTCAAGAAGATATGAATATTTTTTAACATTGATCAGATTTCATTCAAGGATAGAAGGTAGAAAGCTGGTGCATCTGCGCTTGATATGTAAGACGGAATTGAGACTAAATTCTAATGATTCGTTTATATTTTAGCCAAGCCTATCCTTGAAGTGATCAACCATAGCTGGAAGGAAATGGTGATGGAGATTGGTGGTCCCATTATCAAGCAACTTTTGGACAAAGGCATTCATATTGTGAATAAATTCTTCAGTGCAGTGCCCGTCGATAACTTAGAAATTGTATAAGATGTTTCCAGATCTTGTAAATAAAAAACTTATTTTCTATTTAATTACTTTCAATGACTTCACATCTTCTTACTCATATGCAAAATGAGCTGAAATCCTACTGTTAGGTTAGGATATATAAATCTATTAATATAATATTATATAATAAATAATATTAATATAAGTAGACAATTTAAATAAAAACTTATTTAATTTTAAATATTATAATACAAATGTATTGGTAAATTACATAATATTTGTAATTAGCGCCCCTTTATGCTTAACGTGCTCGGCTGATTTTGTAAAGAGCTTTGTAGACATTACCTAAACAATTTGAATGTTTTATGTAATCGTTCTATTTCAAATTGGTCTTTGTTTCTTTTCATATTATGTGAAACTTAGCTACAAACAGGACCGGATTTAGGGAAGGGCGACCGGAGATACACCCCAGGGGCCTCCACAAAAGAGGGCCCCACAATAGACTTGGGAAAAAAAAGATGTGATAAATTCCGACTAGTGAATGAAAAGTAGTCATTTAATATATTTTTATATGTTTGTTGAATTCAAAAAGAAGTTTCACAATAAATTATTGATTGAAAAACTCGACTGAAAAGATTGTTGATTTTATTTGAAAAATAATTTGGGGCCTCCAGACCTCCGGCCCTGGCTACAAAATTAGAACAGTTGAAAATTGTAGTCGCCAATTGTATTATCAACAGATATCAAAGAGAAACCAGCCGACCCGTCTCCGTCATCTTTAGAAAAAATGGCGAGTCGTAGGTATTACGATTGATTTTTTTAGGAATAGAAAATCAAGCGTGACTATTTAACCCTAGATATTTGAAAAAAAGCTATCCCAGTAAACAGTTTTGAATGCCAATTACAAAGCGTCGAACAGTCATTTGTCTTGTTGACGAAGCGCCCTCTATTGGCTCGCTCGGTAATTAGACGCGGACTGACACTGCATATTGATTGCCGCTCATTATGACATCGATTTAGAGTGACAAACTGAAATAGCATGAAACTGTTGCTTATCTTATTTTTTTAACTATAAAAACAATATGCAAATAAAGCGACAATATTATTACAAAAATGCCAACCTTGACTATCGCTGTGATTCAACATTGTTTATTTATTTTATACAAATGTGATTGTATTTTATAAATTTACAGCTTTGACCTAACCTAAACCTTCTTATAAAATTATCCGTAATATAGATTTTATATAGTGTTAATGGACACTTTGTTATGACTTTTATGGTGATTAGGGCGAGATTTTTTAACTCATTAGTCTTAACGATAATTGTAGTGTTATAACATCAATCACGAGACGATTTATTTTATTTGATCTAGTTTCATCTCTTTCCCAGGGTTATGTCATTTTTCATATGTGTATAAATATCTATATGCAATATGGGTACAATGTAGGTAGAAGGCTGACTATGCTGGGATGTTATTACATACGTTTTAAAGACAAATGGTTATTTAATTAAATTCGCAAATACGGCGACCCTGCAACAGAAGTCTGGGGATGACAGCTTTCCACACTGACACACCCAACATACTTATTTATATCTTTATCTATGACAATTCGTTACGATACTATACTCTAAGAAACAGATTCTACATGAAACCACAGACACAATGTCACGAATTCGGAAAAAAGACAAAAGCTATACCTACCTTTAATTATATTTAAACTTGGGCCTACATTCTGGAATCTTCTATTCCGTTCTCGTTAAAAACCACAATCAATTTTCGTTTAAAGTATAGTCTATAAATAATTGAATTGCTATGAGATTGGGCAAAAAATACAGAATCTTGTTATCATGTCATTATACAGGGTATGTTCCGATATACACTGCGAGTACTGTATAGTGCTCCCACTGTTCAAAAATTCGTTCCGCAATGGCCAGATACCGCCAGTATACAGCCGCACTTCCTAGGGAAAGATATGACGTCACAAACCCCTATATAGAATGCTTTTCGAGGAGCTAGTCATGTCATTATCAATCAAAATCAATTTATTTTAATTGATAGATTTAAAATTCCACTTTTGTTTAATTCAATTGAAGTAATATTAATATAGATTTTTTAATGCGATAAAAATAATAGTTTTTCTTTTGAATTGAAAAATTTGATGCACTCATTTGAAAACTTTGAAAACGAAGACAAGTATACTGGACTGCGTTCGTTTTAATTGTAACAGTATATGGCTATAGAGAAAGTTTCAGTATACTAAATTGAGGTACTCTGTACAGTGGTGAGTGTATATCAGAACATACCCATAGTCAATTTATTTTAATTTGATGATGTAATCCAGAGTAACCAAATTATGTCTTTAAACGAGCCGAAAACAACTTTTTTTACAAAGAGTAAAGGAAGCTTAAAATATTCAAGTATTACTAATTTATTTATTTCGTATTCCTACAGCTAACACAAATTATATAGAACACAACACAATTGTAGTGAAGATATAGCCAAAGATGGAATACATAATACATATATACAAAAACGTTCAAACGGGAAAAAATAAATAAAAAATATTAAATACATTTACCTAAGCAATACCTAATTCCAGTGTATTGTATGATGGTGTGAAAATGAGGCTATGTACGGGAAGGTGTGTATGTGAGGTGTGCTCTAATTACTGTACTTTCACATTCATAAACGTACTCATAAGGCTCAATTAGTTAAACCTTTATAGAAAAAAGGGGGAGAATATGGAACTTGATATAATCTCACCAGATTCTTGGATAATTGTCTTTTAAAGACAAATAGGTGATCAGCCTTCCATGACGCATATAGTCGATTTGTTGGTCTGAAACATGGTATCGCCACCATGCTTTCCTTCACCGTACGAAGCCTTTATTGTGCAGAAAGAAAGAAAATCCATTGCACAGCCGGGATTTAAACGCAAGACCCCAGGGTTTACAGTTTCTCTTCATCTTAGTCAAGGACAATATTCCTCAGACTCAGGAGTCAATTTGATACTTTATGGCAAATTTCACATAGATTTAATAAAAATATTTCTCTATATCTCTATAGTCTCTGTTACTCTATGGTAAAACAACGGTAACTTTTAAATATCGCAAAAAAATCTTCCATTTAAACTTGATGCAAATTATTTGGTGAAGTATAAATATGTGATATTTGTTACAAAATTTTAGTATTCGTGTGACCTTAGCATTGAAAAGACTGGTTGTAAATAAAAATGCTTAAGATATTTTGTTTTGTGTCGTGTATTGCATTTTTAGATGCCACTACAGGTTTGTGTTTTTATTTAAGCGTTATTAAAGCTTTTAATTTATAAAATATTAAACTCAATATTCAATCGCGATCTGGGCTCCTTGTGAAAGAAAGCATTGGGTGTTGCTGGAGAGGGTACAAAACAAATTCATCAGGCACATGTATTGTAGGATTTACTGTGTATACCCATTTTAGTACCCAACTTTATTCATAATAGGTTATGTGGGTTACACTCAGAGTGAGGCGAGAATTTGCGATTACCATGTCTCTTATAAAGTTCTTACGTGAAAAGGAAAACAATCTGGCATTGCTCCAATGCCTAGGCCTCAGGGTGCTGACGATTCTATTCGTATATACCCTCAGCACATATGACGGTCAAAAGGTCTGCTTCATGTCATATTATACTGTAAGAAATAGTTTTTTTGTAAATATTTTTATCTATTATATTACTGTGATGTTGTTTTTTTATGTGTATCTATTTTTTGTATGTGATATAAATGTAAATAGTTGCCGCGTTGGAGTAATCTGTATTGGTAGCTTATTTTGTTAAAAATAAATAAATAAAAAGATACAAAAAGAACACATACTCATATAACTGGGTTCTTTTGTATGGAAAATTTCTTACATTAATAAATGCTTTATTATTATTTCGTTATTGTTTACTTTAGATTTTTAAAGTTAATTTAATTCGTAGAAGTTATACTTAACGATTTAACGCATTTAAACGGGATGTTTTTTTTTCAAATATTTGACTAAAATCGACGTGTACTTTTCCATCAGAAAGAGTTCCTGTCCGTATACACGAACAACGACAATAACCATATGTACTTTTTGCAGTTCCCTACATAACACCATGCAAGTCAGTTGATACACCGTGCATGATCTCCAGTGCACACAGTGCCCTCGAAAACTTTTGGCGTGGTGTCCCAGAATTTGGAGTACCTATACTAGATCCCCTAGAGATCGGCAGCATACGCAACGATGACAAAGATCTGAAATTAGGTTTTAGGAACATGAAGGTTTCTGGACCAAGCAAGTGTAAATTCTTGGACATCAAGTAAGTTTTATTTCATTATATTTGTGATACGATTGTTTTGAATATTCTATTATATATTTAATTGTGGTAGTATTATAGTTATTGTACAAGAAGGCACGCGCCCCGTATAGTATGCATATAGTGTCCAACATTAGATTGCGATTTAGATACGCAAGTTTTTTAGGTTTTTCAACGAAAGTTCTATCTTTACGCAGCTTGGCGACGGTTTTTGTTGAGTTTTTGTAATTCTAAATTATTTTTGATGTTGCAGACGTGAACTATACAATTCAACTATATCACTGACCGCAGAGTGTCCTCTAAGAGCAACAGGCCAATATGACTTGAAAGGAAAGATACTGTTTATTGAAGCCTACGGAGATGGTGATTTTGATATTAAGACAAGTGAGTATAATTTTTAAACCAGCTCCATTAAATATAATGTTATATAATCTGTGCCGATATTTATTTCTCTTTGTTGTGCTGCTGAATTACTCAGATAAAGCCAGAGCATCATTACGACATTTATGTAACAAATAGGCTTCAACTATTGAACCGATTGACCACTTTGATGAACGTAGGCTTTAGTATATTTCCAAAAAAGCTAGGGAACCGTATGAAAACTTTGATAATGTAACCCAAGATGTGAAAAAACTACCAATATCGTGTTCGCCGTGGAAACAATTGAGAATAGGTACAGCAAAGATATAGTACAGTTAAAAAGAAGACATTTTTATCTA